TTGTGATTAACAGGTTAACTCCAATTATTTGTGATTAACAGGTTAACTCCAACTATTTGTAATTAACAGGTTAACTCCAAATATTTGTGATTAACAGGTTAACTCCAACTATTTGTAATTAACAGGTTAACTCCAACTATTTGTGATTAATAGGTTAACTCCAACTATTTGTAATTAATAGGTTAACTCCAACTATTTGTAATTATCAGGTTAACTCCAACTATTTGTGATTAACAGGTTAACTCCAACTATTTGTTGTTTCTCACATTCTCTCTTCTTAATTTGTGCATTGGGGCTCGAAATCCGGAGTGCGTAAAAACAGAAATTCAGATCTATCTTTTGCCTCCAACTAGATTTAAAATGATTAATTTTTACACACTCGCGATTTCGAGCCGAAATGGACAAATTAAGAGGAATGTGAAAGAGAAAAATAATCTACAGCTCAGTTTTTTATAACAGTTGTTAGATTTATTGGTTTTTCAATATTTGGCAGACTTTTGACTTTGATATAGTTAATTATAAAATGAAAAACAGCCCAAGTATTTTAATATATGCACATTTAAAATGATTTTAAAAGTTTTGATCTCCTTTTAGCGCAATTTTAGTAAATTAATAAAATATTGTATACGTTGTAACGTGTTCTTTCATTGGTCGAATTCTTCTAAATTATTTTGTAAAAATAATCTCAATTCACACCATATAATGATAACAAATTTGTTTATTTCTGCATTAACGACCAGGCTACTATCACATTTGTAGGTCATAGCTCACAAAAAACTCGACAGTACAAATAAACTTACTTGTACAACTTCACAACTAATTGATCAAGTAACTGAATATACGTCATAACTAACACTGATAATGAATAATTCTTTAGCTTCTCAATCACTAAACGAACCGAAAAGTCGCTCAATGCTTCAATGATTCTTGTAATTTTAATATATCATTGTTTCTGGATATTTCGTAGAGTCTCTTGATAATTAAAATTTACGAAATTTCGAGGGATCCAAAAACTACTTTTATAAACATTCTAGCTTTAGCGTCATAATCATGTTAGCAGCTCCCTCTAGCAAACAACTAAATTAAAACATTGAAAATATAGCTTACAACACTTTCTCACCCAACATGCGTCATATCTTTAAAAAGAAATGGTTCGCTGATTTTACAATTTTGAGGTTATGTAGAGGCATGGGCGTGGGGCACTTACCCCCTCCTAGAAAATGAGAAACACAATTATTTATTTATATATTCAGCATATGTATATGAATTTACAAGTTTTTGTATCCACTTCACAATTTCATACTATTTTGCGCCCCTCCCCTGGAAAAATGTTTGCGTACGCCCATGTGTAGAGGTACGTAATGTTGTTGCTGTTTTAGCGATGGGCTATCTGCGCTCTGTCTTCAATGAGGTAAGTAATATTAAAATATTGATTAGTGTATATTTGCTCAAAGAATATGTTAGATTCTAAACCAGGATGTAACTTTTACACTCTCACCAAATAAAAAATGTGAAGATCGAGCTCTATGTAATTTTTGTAATTAAATAATTGAGTCATTCTATTGATAAATGACATTTATCCATGCAAATCAAAGTTAAAATTGCATTTCAGGTATAGAAAAGAAATAAAAAATGTTCCTTTCTAAACTGAACAGTCATTACTGGCAATGGAATTCAAAATCCTTCCTCATTTTTGGTGCATGATTTAATGTTTTTGGTCATTGAAGTTTCGAAATGGTACCTTTGTGGTAATTTAATTTTGTAATATATATTTCTTCGCCTCCGATTTGAACATTCTCTATTTGGTCTTATTGCATTTTCTGACATTAAATATAACTTTTAAAATCTTACGTTTTTGCGATAGACGGACAGATAATATTGCTTTTAGTGTAACTTAAATATCAAATTTAAACTGTATGTTTTATAATAATATAATACTGTTATGATGGCATACTAAATAAAATTTTGATGAACAAATAATCACTTTCTTATTTCTACATTTAGGTTTATATTCAATTTGATTAAAATATTATGTCATGTTCTATTGACCAATGAAAATACTGCAATTTCAGAAGAACGTCATTAGAACAGTTGACCAATTCCTTTTGAGCGTATCCGTGTGTTTAGACAAGAGTGAAAGGAAAAGATCTGGGGTGGAAAGGGCGTAGAGTTAAGTGGGCAAGGAGGAGTGCAGAATTACATCACCAGAAGATCCAAAAAGACAATCTTCTAAAAGATGTCAGGAACTGAAGAAAACAATGTTAATCAAGAGCCAACAGCAAAGAAAGTGCTTGGTAGGGATGATTCTTACACGTCTAGGAACATGAGTAATTTGACCACAATAAAATGTAAAGTAAATAATTAATACTAGTTAGAACTACGTCAATTGTCATTCAATAATACTTGTTATTCGGAAGTTGCATATAAAAATCTAGAAGATAAAGTTAGTTTTACTTTTAGTATTAGAAATTTCAGTTGCTTTGTTAATTATTCGGTAAAACTGTTATCCTTAGTTTTCGTTTTTTCTACCCATATTTATTGTTAATCAACTTAATGTTAACCACACGTGATCTGGAATTAGGATAGTATCCTAACCTAGGCCAAAAAATGTAATAATAAACGCACTTTTTTACTGAAATTTTAAATAAAATTTATGATGTATAATAAAATTAGAAAAAGAATACGTGATATATATACTTGTGCTTTTTTTATGTTGAAAAAAACTTCTAACAAATTAGAGGATTTTTTATTTTAATTTTCATCTAATCTTAATTTATTGATTCCACTTCCAGTAAGTATGATTGCCACAGATACTGCATATTCACTTTTACTATAGGTTATTTAAAATTTTGATATAGAATTGATTCTCCTTATTTTTTATTTTTTTTGCTTAATCTATAGAATTACTTTAAATCCAAATCATGTGTGGTTAACTTAAAACTTGTTACAACAATGAGGATGTGATTGTAAGTAAATTATGTTTCTAAGATTGGTATATATCAAAGTTCCAAGATACTACTACTTGTGCATGGCAGATTGTAAGCCATTACAATATAATTGGTAGTAATCTTTTTTGTAT